AAGTAGTAGTACTAGGAGTAGAAGTAGAAGGAGGAGGAGGAAGGAGTAGGAGTAGTGGTACAGCAGCAGTAGTAGTAGTAGTAGTAGTAGTAGTAGTAGTACTAGTAGTAGTAGTAGTAGTACTACTATTACTACTACTACGACTGCTACTACTATTACTACTACTGCTACTACCTATACTACGTATACTACCTATACTACCTATACTACTACTACTACTACTACTACTACTACTTCTTCTACTACTACTACTACTACTACTACGATTGCTGCTGCTACTACAACAACTTCTACTACTACTACTACTACTACTACCACTACCACTACTACCACTACTACTACTATTGCTACTACTACTACTACGACAACGACGAGTAGAAGTAGCAGTAGCAGTAGCAGTAGCAGTAGTAGTAGTGGTAGTAGTAGTAGTAGTAGTTGTTGTTGTTGTTGTAGAAGTAGCAGTAGTAGTAGTAGCAGCAGTCGTAGCAGTAGTAGCAGTAGCAGTAGTAGCAGTAGTAGTAGTAGTAGTAGCAGTAGTAGTAGTAGTAGTACTACTACTACTACTACTACTACTACCAGAAGTAGTAGTAGACATTGTGCCTATACCGACATTTAAAACGTTTTTGTCTCGGAGCCTGCGCGCCCATCGACTGCACTGCTCAGCCTGGGACAGAAGCCGACAAGGATTCGGGCAGCCATTTAAAGAAACCATGCCAGAATACCGAAATCACATCTGTAAAACCCAACACAAACTGTTTGACAAACCCTAAACCCTAAACCCCAAACCCTAAACCCTAAACCCTAGACCCTAAACCCTAAGCTTATGTACTCCAGCCCTCAGGAGGCCTAAACCATGGGTGGTTGTCAAAATTATGGTCCCTTTTTGGGTCCGTAATATAATACGGCACCTAATATTTAGGGTACCCAAAAAGGGACCCTAATTTTGACAACCACCCCCATCAAGAACAAACTATGCTTGCAGGCTTTGGCCTTTAGGTTCCCAAGCTTAGCCAAAGTTTTGTTGAAGTTGTGTTACCTATTCTGAGGACACATTGGTCCTGCTACCCCATTAACCTCGACCCTAAGCCTGGAAGCCCCAAAGCCTAAACTCGAAAGCCCAACTCCAAAACCCTACAAATCCTAAACCTAACCCTAAACTGCTTTGGCTGCTGTCTCGCAAACCTAAGTGGGCGGCTTTGCAAAGCTTTGCGCCCAAAGCCTCGTGAACCAGCATCTTCAAGCCTTTCCGGGGCTTCTATTCTAGCTCTAAAATTCAGGGCTTCGATTTTCAGGTCTAGGGGTTGCCGTGGAAATGCGCATGGGCGAAGCATCTTGCGACAAGCTCGTGTCGAGTGCATCGTACTATGGGAATGGTCGGCGGGTGGGGAGAACGGGTTCCGGCGTGGTACTACGGTCCGCGTGGCTGTGGGGCGGTTTAAGGTTTAGGGTTTAGGGACAGCGTACTAGTACTGACTGGCTCGGCTTGCATCATCAAGGTCCAGGGGCCTGAGGATTACCCGCCCACAGTAGGTGGGTGTGTCACGCCTTGAGTTTAAGGCTTTTGGTATTTCTTGGCACAAGCGACCTGGTAAGGAATATTACGGGGACCTCAACTGATTCGGGCTGAAGATACTTGCAATGGAACTTAGTTATCGCTTTCATTCACCCCCCCAATTACGAAGACAACTCCTTTTTTACGCGTTCTGCAGCCACATCTTCATGTCTTCATTCATTCATACAGCCCGAAGACCTATAAACCTCAAACCCTGAAGCAATCTTCCCAAAAAGTCAAGAGCTATCTACACGACTACGAAAGAGCCCTTAACCCCGCAAAGCCTTCTATTCCTCTATTCCGACCTGAAGCTCACAGGCCTACTTTAGGGTTTAGGGTTTAGGGGAATCAAAACATAACTAACCCGAAGGGTCCTATGTACTGTTATGGGGGATACTTCCCTAAATCATAATAATAATTCCTAATATAGAAACCCTACATTCTACTATGTAGGTACATTGGACCCTTTGGGTAAGGAGCCCTACACACGCAGGCTTTCGAGGGCGAGGGGGTTCCCTCCAGCTTTGCTGTCAACTTTCGGCGGCTCAGAAGTTTTGAGGCTGGCAGCGCAAATGAGGCTGTCTATGGGGCTTGAGGGTGTGTGGTTTAGGCTTAGGGTTTTGAGATGTACGGGTGCAGGGATTAGAATTTAGAGATATTTTGACTTGTTTGGAGCAAGAAATATCACAATCCGCAACCTCCAAGCCCTCCAACTCCTGAACCCTGGCCCCTAAAACCCTCAAGCCTGAAGGTAATATAGAGGCCTTCATCATTAGAATATAGGGTATTGGGGTCCTTTATAGTCTAATTATAACAAGGAGCCCCCGAAAAGAAAATAGGTAACTATCGAGGCGTCTATATTATGACAGGGGAGGTCCGCAGATCAGGCTCTGGAGTCGAGGGTTTCACATGAAACCACCAGCACCACCCTCATGTATCGCAGCCCATAAATTACAGGAAACTACAGGTGGGGAATATATATATATATATATATATGATTATATATATATATATGATTATATATATATATGATTATATATATGTATGTATATATACATATATATATATATATACATATTTATATATATATACACACATACGGCTTCAATGAGGCTTCCATGAGGTTTTGTAGACCTTCTATAAGGCTCCCATAACGGTAACTACCCACCTGAAAATGTCCTAGAATAAACGGCTTAACACTGCCAACCGAACCCTCAGAAAACTCTAAAGCCATAAACCCCGGATGAGACAGAGAACTTACCAAGTCCCCCGATGAAAACCCTATAAAGTCCTTGTGCAGTTTTCTTGGAGACTCGCCAAAGCAAAAGGAAATAGCAGGCATCGTAAAGCCTATAGTTGGCAGGCCCATTGGACCTGAAACAAATTTATCCAACATGGTTGTTAGTAGCCCCGTTGGTTGATACTATACGAGTTTAGGGCTTAGGGAGACTACACTACGAAAGCCTGAGGAGAGCCCTCATCAAGACAAAAAACACGATCCTGTGCAAGCACGCGTTTAAAACCTCCGCTTCCAAACAACTCCGATCGAACGCTTGTGAAACATGAAAAAACAGGTATCGAACCCCTGAAACCCTAGACCCTAAGCCTAAATCCAAAACCCTGAACCCTGAATCCTACCCCCTAAAGCTAAATCCGTAACACCCCAAACCCAAAACTCCAAACCTAAATGCGTAACAACCCAAGTCCAAAACCCAGAATGCTAAACCCTAAAGCTAAATCCGTAACACCCCAAACCCAAAACCCCAAACCTAAATGCGTAACAACCCAAGTCCAAAACCCAGAATCCTAAACCCTAAACCTAAATCCGTATCACCCCAAACCCCAAAACCCAAAATCCTAAACCCTACAAACCCTTCCAAAGGCCCTTCAATGCCTCCATCTGTGCGACTCCGCAGATCCCGAGGTTTGCATCCCATCAGGCCGGCTTGCTCAAGCAGACCTTTGTTAAGAGACAAATGTGGGAACCTGATTAAAAGACCTCAATTGGCTTTAGGGTTTCAGGCTTCTGGGTTCAGGAGTTTTGGAGGTTAGGGGTTCAGGAGTTTTGGAGGTTAGGAGATTAGGAGTTTTGGAGCCTGGGTCTTTATTAGGGTTCCTTATATGAATCCTAGTATTTTGGGGATTCTAGGGCCATGGTTTCTTGATCAGGTTCCTACATTCGAGATTAGGGTTGGGGCTTCCTAAAAAAGGCTTAAGGATGTTCAGGGTTTAGGGTTTAGGGCCTCATCATAAAAGCTTTCTCAAGTGTTCTTCCCTTAAACCCTAAGCCCTAAACGCTCGACAAGACTTACTATTTGGCGCTTCTTTAAAACCCGGGCTTCCCACACTTTGGGAACCCCAATTTTGCGAACCTCGTCCTTAAACCCTTTGAGAAAGCTTTAACACGGTGTTGGATGCTACTTTCTAGGACTTCGGGTGGCTGTCCACAACATGATCTTGTCTTTCGGAAGGGTCAGTTACTGTAGCGTTGATATTGGGGTCCGTTCTGGCTTCAGGCACAAGGGCTTGGAGCGCAGGGGTTTAAAGCCAGGGATTTTATAACCGATTTTCACGTTCGTAAGGGCCGTAGATCGCTGGTGAGCGATGATACGATTTTCGAAGGTTGTTATGGGATTCCTGCAAAGATTGGGGCTGGGGATTTAAATCATCGTGTAGAAGTTGTGCGTCGGTGGCGAATTCTAGTGGCCCAGGCTTGAAGGTTTAAGGTTTGTTTTCAGTCCGGGAATGACTGCAAGGTTGGGGGCTATGGTGCATCGTAATGTGTACAATGTACAGCTTGCTCTAGTTTTAAAGTAATGATGCGAGGTCCCTCCAACTCGTACGCTGCCTGCTCCTACTCCTACTGCTACTCCGACTACTGCTCTGCAACATAATTTTATTGGTAGACCTGAATTCAGTGGTTTTTCCCGACACCCTGAGCCCCCGAAACACATCCAAGGTGCAAGAATCTCGTAGGAAGTCGAAAGCAAGCACCTACGCGCTCCACCGCGGTGATGGCAGAAAACGCGGTTCAGTCTTTGGCCTCATTTAATGTCACGGCTCAAAGATTAAAACTCAACTTGCACCATATCTTGCATACATTTTGTGAAAATACACAATGATCAATCTAACGTAAATTATCTGGCTAAACAACGAATAGTGCTGGGAGCCTAATTTGCGAATGTTTGCATATCATACGTAATTTTGTACCCAATGCCGGCAACCTGATATAAAATGGGTGACCTGGACATACGCCAAACCGCAATGCACCAGAAGCGCACGCTACCACAGCGCAGTTTGCGTTTCATGTGGTGATGTTGCAGCAGCTGATGATGGAGATGATGATGATGATGACGACGATGATTATGATGGCGATGGTGCATGAACGCGCATCGTGACGCGTGATGAAGCATCTGGTCAATGATGGTGCATAGTTGTTAACGATGGTGACTCCTACAATTGCGACAATGTTGCCGATGAGTATGGTTGCGGGCAAAAAACCGCAATCCAGCCGCGGGTTAATTAACAGTGTTTCCAAACCGTAACCAAACCGATCTGAGAGTGTCGACTCATGGTTGCCTGAATTGTGGCAGGGGCAAAATCAAGGGATGCGCGGATGAATGATTTAACGGTGTGGGAACGTAACCTGTGTGTGCGTGTGAAAAGACAGGAGATGAGGCGTTTCGGAAATGTTTGAATGTTGACTCTGCTTTTTGCTGCGTAGTCTTATCGGATACAAGATTTACTTGTTTCTCCCAATCCCCAAACCGTAGTTCAATAGGGCGGAATCATATGAAAAAATGATGATGATGATGATCGTGATGGTGATGATGATGATGATGATGATGGTGATAGTGATGGTGATGATGATGATGGTGATGGTGATGCTGATGATGAAGAATGAAGAAGGGTGATGGCCAGGAGGATAATGATGATGTTGATGATGAAGAAGATGGTGATTATGGTGATGGAGATGGTGATTATGGTGATGAGGATGATGGCGATGCGGGTGATGAGGATGGGAAAGAGGATGAGGATGAGGACGAGGATGAGGACGAGGATGAGGATGATAGTGATGATGATTCTGATGATGATGATGATGATGAGGATGATGATGAAGATGGTATGTATTTTTAAATATCTGTATGTGCACTGCTCTTACACACAGGCATAGGTGTGAAAGTGTTCCTCCGTAAGGATCCCCACCATGATATTTGACAGAGGTCAGCAGCTTCTGTTCTGGCTCTGCGAAGTCCAAGACTGTTAATACTGCACTGGCCGCAGATTGTGCATCCTGTGCGCGACAAGCCCGGCCAACGAGTGCTTTCTGTTCCCTTTTGGAAATGGCTTCTTCATGTAAGGGACGGCAAAGTCAAATGCCTCGGAAGCCTAAGCCTCTAAATCTCAAAGCCCCTGTCCTGAAGCAGACCTTGAACATTGCCGGCAATGAACTGCGCAACCCACGTCCCTAGCTTCTTGCGCGCTCAGAGAGAGCCAAGCACCCCGTGAGGATCATAGGTATATAGTACTTACATCACATAAGGCTCTTTCTATAGGGCACAACCCGTAGGTAAGAGGTTCCAGTACATACTGGACTTTTTGGCTGGAGACTGGGACCCTCATATTATCCACAGGGGTAGGTAGTTTTCAACAGTGGACCCCTAAACAAAGGATCCCCAATTTGAAGAAACTCACGCAGCAGAGTAGCTTTGAATTTAGGCCTACGACAAGCATGACAGGTACTTTAATTGGGGCTGTCCGTAAACTTTGTCCTGTGCATATCTGTTTGCTCGTCCACTCATGATGTATTTCGCCTGCACCATGCAGATTCCCCAACCGCTCAACCCCAAACCGAACATTCCTTGAATTCTGAACCAAAATCCCCAGACTCCTCAAGCCTTAAATTTAAATCCTGAAGCGAAAAGCCATCAAGCAGAAACTCGAACACTCGAAGGAGCAAACTCTTTAGTGATAACCTTGCCAGAAACCCTGAAACGGCAACACATTCATCAAACTCCCTTCCGGGGTTTGAGGTTTCAGGGAAGTTACAGTTCAGGGTTTAGGGATGTGTAGGGTTAAGGGCGGGTCTTGAAGGCTGCACGGCTCCATCTGGCGATCCTTCGGGGCTCTTTGTGACAGAAATTTCGAATCCGAAAACAGAGGTGACATACTAAGCCATTCATCCCGGAATATCTAGAATCAGGCTGAAATGCAGAGATCTTCTTGTTTTAGTGTTGTAGGCTCCAGAATCCCCAGACGCTGTCCTGAAAGGTTCAGGCTTCGCCTTACGCATTCGGGAGTTGGGTGTAATATAGGGGCCTTAATAATTACCTATACTATTTGGGGCGGCTCCTTACTATAAATATAGTATAATGGGCCCCAACACCCTAGTCTAATTTGTTAAGGCCCTACATTAGGGGTGTCGGTTTTGTTACGCTTCAGGGCAAGCCAAACATGCAGCATCCATTCGGAACTTCCTGGCTGCGAGCCCCCTAAGTCCCTAAACCTTAAGCCTAAACCCTAAACCCCTAAAGCCTAAAGCATAAACCCCTAAACGATCTTATGGAGGGTCGTCAGGGTTTCGGTTTCAGACGGAGGGTTTAGGTTTAGGGTTTAAGGGTTAAGGGTTAAGGGTTTGGGGGTTTAGGGGTTTAGGGTTTAAGGTAAGAGTGTGTATCATTGAAGGTAGTTTTGTTGAGTAGGGGTCTACATAACATTGAGGTACTACATGTATGATGTGATTCTGTAGGGTTAAGGAGTGTTTGCTAACCTCAAACAACCTCGAGCTTCATGGTCTGGCAGGCCAACAAAGAGGATTAATTAACGTCTGCAAAAGCCAACGGCCCACGGGAATCAACCCTACCGATCAGCCCAAATCTGTCCAATGGCCTACACTGACGTTTCAGACGATAGTGTGGTAGGATCATGAATATAATGGACCCTTAAATAAAGGAAGGAACCCCTCAACCCGAAACCCTAAACCCCAAACGTTCCATAACCCTCAAAAACACAACCTGAAGCACACGCCTCAAGAGCGCCATCCCTAAACTAACCCCTAAACCCCAATACACCAGGCCCCAAAGCCTAATGTAGGGGCCTTAAAAATTAGAATAGGGTTTGGGGGTATTAATTAAATTAGGCCCCTACATTAGAAACGAAACCTCCGAAATTCCTGCACCAGACTGTAGAGCCCTTTTAGAGTTTAGGGTTTGGAGTTTTAGGGTTTAGGGTTTAGGGTTTAGGGTTTTACGGTTTAGGGTTGAGGGTTTTAGGGCTTTAGGGCTTTATGGGTTTAGGGTTTAGGGCTTTAGGGTTTGAGGGCTTTAGGGGTTTAGGGTTTAGGGCTTTATGGTTTGAGGGCTTTAGGGTTTGGGGCTTAGGGCTTTATGGCTTGAGGGCTTTAGGGTTTAGGGCTTAGGGTTTAGGATTTAGGGCTTAGGGGTTATAGGGTTTATAGGGTTCATAGGGTTTAGGGGAGTCATTAGAATAGGGTCTCAGGGTATTTGTAGTCTAGTGCTGTAGCTGTAGACGATAAAGGGGAATTATGAGGTGTTTATGCTGATCCCTATATTCTATAGCAACATCTTTGGGTTCTGTTTCGGGAACAGCCCCTGATGCTCGCCTCTCCTGCGGAACTGAGCAGAGGCGACAAACGTCCCAAAGTCGCGCTGCGGGCAAGTGCAAGAATCTGAGTGGCAAGTTCAGGCCGGACAGGGTTTAGGGTTTAGGGTTTAGGGTTTAGGGTTTAGGGTTTAGGACAGCACATATGGGTAATAAGGGGGCAACCAACCCGAACCAAAGGAGGGGGACGGGAATAGGCAGGGACCGTTCCCCGATCTACCGCACAGGAGAGAGTGGAGACTCCCCCCCCGGGCGGGAATAAGTAGTACATGGCAGTAGTATTTTGCAAACCATTGATCCTAAACCCTAAACCCTGAACCCTATACCTAGATCCTAAACCCTAAACCCTAAACCCTATACCTAAACCCTAACCCCCAAAACCCTAAAACCCTAAAGCCCTAAACCCTACCATGCTCTGGTAGCATATGGACCTTGGGGGGCGGGGCCGTCGGGGCGCAACCATACAGAGGAACCTGTGTCCGGATGCTCCGCTTGTTTGGGCGGAGATGCCGACTCGATCGTTGATGGCTCAAGGTTTGAAACCCTAAACCCTAAACCCTAAATCCTAAATCCTAAACCCTAAACCCAAAACCCCTAAACCCTAAACCGACTTACAGTTTGGGGTTTGTGAATTAGAAGATTCGGGCTTGGGATTCTAAAATTTCGGTTCTTACCTAGCTTCCGTTTCAGGTCTCTGGGCTTCGGTGTTCTTACAGGACGGTTGAGGCTATATAAGTTTTAGGGTTCAGGGTTTAGGGTTCAGGGTTTAGGCTTATCAGTTCTGGGAGTTTGCTCATTTCGTTGAAGCAGGCAGCTCCTTGCAGAAAAGCCACGTCGATCACGAAGACCGCCGTGGGCACGGCAAGTTGCCTCTCTTCGTCAATAACCGAAACTTTCTATCATAGGCTAGATATATGGGTAGTTGTCAAAATTATGGTCCCTTTTGGGGTACCCTAAATAATAGGTGCTGTATTATAATAAGGACCCAAAAAGGGACCCTAATTTTGACAGCCACCCATATAAGGCCAAAAAGTTTAAAGTTCTCCCATTGGCTAAGTAAGGTGCAGCAAGGAGATACGAGCATCTTTGCTCCATCCGCTGTGCTCGCAATCGACGCCAATCCTTTCATAGATTATTAGGGTTTAGGGTTTAGGGTTTAAGGGGTTTAGGGTTTAAGGTTTAGGGTTTAGGGTTTAGGGTTTAGGGTTTAGGGATTCTAGGGTCCCAAATGGGAGTTTCCGGAAAGAAGGGGTACCTTATTTTGGGGTCCTTATAATAAGGATCCTATTATTTAGGGTATTCTATTAGGGTCCCCTATTTTCGGAAACCCCCAAATGGTCCTACATACCCATGCTTTCTATGTTAGAACTTACTACCATGACTTGAAAAAAGTATCCCCCATATAAGTATTTAGGATCCATTGGGGGTTTAGGGTTTAAGGCCTCGGTAGGTTTGTATAGAAGGTCTTGTTGTTAGAAATCTCCAGACGAACGTGGAACTTTGGTGCCTTTTAAGATGTTGTTCTTTTCATGTCGGGCCAATGGTCGTCTAGGGGAGAGCAGATTGGCGGAGAGAGACCGGCGGAGAGTAATAGGGTACTAGAGCGAAGGATGGCTGGAGGAAGATCCCAAAATCTGGGATCATGTATAGATAACAACTACTTCTGATGTTGACTTCATGAGAATGAACCCCACCCCCCGATTGCTTTCAGGCCCAGGCAGTTGATCGATTATTGAGTCTGATGATGAGGAGGAGGAGGAGGGGTTCCCAGTACTAAGATTATCACCCTAAACCCTAAACCCTAGACCCTAAACCCTAAACCCTAACCCCTTCTTACGCTTGCCGACTCCGGGAGGGCTGATTGGCCTCCAGCGTTCTTTATGAACCAGGGACGGGATTACCCATAGTCCCTATACTAGTTCCTTTTTGGGGTTACCTTATAGGATTCTATGTATGAACCCCAAAAGGAACTACTTTAGGGCCTATGGGTATTGTGGAGTTTTCGGGATCGAGTTCTTCATCATTGAACGGGGGGTTGGTTTTCCGGGATCGAGTTTCATAATTTCGGGGCGGGGGATCAAAAATGAACTCAGCATTATGGGCTTTAGAGCGGTTGAGATGGGATTTATGATGCCTTATATGGGTGGTCAAAATTATGGTCCCTTTTTGGGTCCTTATTATAATACGGCACCTATTATTTAGGGTACCCCCAAACCAACCATAATTTTGACAACTACCCATATGGCTTTACAGGGGCCCTTTCGGAATTCAACATTGCCACGATTCTTGTCGATGCTTAAAGCAAAAAGATGACGGAATTAAGAATACTGATCGATGCCAGCAGACCTGGCCCCGATAGAGTTTAGGGTTTAGGGGTTATAGGGGTTTAGGGTTTAAGGGGTTTAGGGTTTAGGGTTTAGGGGTTAGGGCTTATAGAGGTTAGGGTTCTGTGGAGGGTTACAATAGCCCGGGGTTTGTTTGAGGGCAGGGTAGGGTTCAGGTTGAATGCGACGGAAGCCGCACAATACTCAGCATAAAGCTCTCGTGTCGTACGGTTAAGCTCTCAGGGGTCTTCAGTCTTGTTTTGGGCGATGTTCAGCTTTATCAGGGCTGAATCGCGTTTGGTCGCGGAGTCAAAGAAACCGTTCACGCGTTTAGTCAAGGGCTACTCAAAAGCTGAGGGGCGAGCGGTTTGAGGGGTTTCCAGATCGAAGGTTTTGGCGATTAGGGTTTACTTTGAAAAACCATAGCATACGTAATGATTAAGCCAGATCCTGAAACCTATTGTTAAACCTACACTGCCTCCTGGCAAGCATAAGCTTTGCAACATGAACTTGCAAGTACGAGCTAGAGCATGCCATGGGCAAAATCTCACCAACCTTTTTGCGACAGTTTTGAAACTGGGAGTTCGATCTTTCTTGTAGCATTCCAGACTTCGTGACTGCTCGTTCTTACGCACCTAAGCCGCGAGCCCTGAACCTCGTAAAGGGGCCGGAAGAAAAAACACATGGCGTTTAGGTATAGTTTAGGGATGACTCGGCCCTAAACCCTAAACCCTAAATCAGTGCCTTGGGGGGGATACGAATACGAGTGATTGAAAACGCACATCGTCCTTAAAACCCTAAACCCTAAACCCTAAACCCTAAACCCTACACCCATCGTCCTTACAAGCAATGCCCTGAGCCCTGGAAACATCAAAAAAGCTCCTTATGCAGTCCCCAGATGCCAACTTAGAGCTTCAATAGTTTAGGGTTTTGGGTTTTGGGGTTTAGGGGTTTAGGGGTTTAGGGGTTTAGGGGTTTAGGGGTTTAGGGGTTTAGGGGTTTAGGGTTTAGGGTTTAGGGTTTAATAGGAGGGGGAGAGAGAGCGAGAGAGACCGAGTAATCTCAAGCAACATGTAAGGCCCCAGTGCCTGCTCAGGACAAGCTACATGTCTTCCAGTGGGAAGCTCTCGATCACAGTTGCCAGAGCCTGGGCACTGAGGTTTAGGGTCTACCCTGTGGGGCTTGGGGCTTTGAGGGTCTGAGGTTTAGCCTGCATGTAGGTTTTAGGGTTCGGGTTTTAGGGTTGAGTGTGCCAGGTTTTTATTTATCGAGCTTCACGCAGTTTTCCGTCAGGCTGCGTGGCGCAGGGTTGACCAGAAAACCGCGACACATCGCAAAAGCTTTTCCCTACGGATCACTAGCGAATGTAGTGCATTACAATCAATCCTCACGGAGGTAGTGCTCCACCTCCATGGGTTTCCAGCCTTCTGCCACTGGGCTGGTAGATCCAAGTCTACCTTCGCCCCGCTCATTGTCGCGAAAATGTAGAACTGGGGCAGCTTGAAGTGTTGTGCTTCCGTTCGGTGAACGTGGTCTGGAAAGACTCGTTGCTATCCACGGTGGCAGCACACTACAAGGAGAGGGGCAGAAGAGATGGACGACCTTCCGAGCTCGATCCCCGAGCCTCTAATCCTTGTTTCCCTCGTGCCTCGGAGGTCTTGTCGGCCTCAGGCTTCTTTGATGCAACAGCAGCTGCGGAACAAGCAGCTTTTTCGTTCCGGATGTTTTGTGTCTCGCGAGCGCTACCACACTCCGTGCCACAGTATCTGAGTGGCGGGTGGAAGCACTTCGGCGGCTGCGTCGGCAGCCCACGACCAGAGGTCGCGAATTGTCGAATCACTGCACGGCCTAACTCACGCAACCCTACTTTCATACTATGTAGGTTCGGACCCTCTTGGGTTTTGGGTCCCAAGCACCTACGCGAGACCCTAGTTTGGAGAACCCACCAGGAGTCAGTGCACTCTAGACCTCACGTACTTCGTCGCGTGGGCTGAGCATTTGAAGGGATAACTCAAGCCTACAGATTCCCAAACCTGGAAACCAGGTCACCAATGCGTCGCACTGCGAATCAAAACCCCGAAGCTTTACAGTAGTAAATGGGGAGTCAAGCCCTTGCTGTACGAAGCCTTATGACAATCCTTACAAGAACCTCCTACAATATACCTTGCGGAATTGTACAAACAGGATAATTGAAATCGAGGCATGCTGCTTTTTCGGACACCGTAAACCTTACATGCTCCAGATCCTCTCATGTCTTCTGAATCTCAGTACCTGGTAGCCCTAAACCCTAAACCCTGGTACGTAGCCCTAAACCCTTAACCCTGGTAGCCCTAAGCCCAAAATCCTGGTAGCCCCACACCCCAAAGCCCAAGAACCAGGCCGGGCCTTGGAGTGGGCCGACACCTAAAGCATCAAACCCGAAACAGGGCACCGCAGACCCATCATCCCTGGAAGCCCTAACATTGGCACCGTCTTGAGTCGAATAGGGTTTAGGGTTTAGGGTTTGAGGGTTTAGGGCTTGAGGGTTTGAAGGTTTGGGGGGTCTCGGAATAAACCATACCGAAAGCCTCGCAAACTGCAAAAACCCCAGCCGACCTTCCCTTAATCCTAAACCCTAAACCTTCCTAAACCCTAAACCCTAAACCCCAAACCCTAATCCCTAAACCCTCAAGAACAAAACAACAAGAACTGAATGAAACCTCCCCTTCTTATGCACTTGGACCAGCATCCGGCCTCCTCGGTATCCACAAAGGTTACAGAAACCTCCCCCGGCAGGCCTGGGATGGGAAGATCTCGGCTCAGTGTTCAGGTTTCTGGTGCAGTGTGGGTGTAGGGTTTAGGGTTCAGGGTTCAGGGTTTAGGGTTTAGGGTTTAGGGTTTAGGGTTTAGGGTTTAGGGTAGTGCAAAGTTAAAGGAAACTACAGGTGGGGAGTTTAAGGTATATAGGGCTTCTATAAGGTATATAGACCTTCTACAAGGCTCCTATAACGGTTATTATTCACCTGAAAATGTCCTAGACAACGGCGTTCTTAGATAGAATATGGTTTTTTGGCGTTATGAGGGCACGTTGTTGCTGTCTGTGTACCCGCTTTTACGCGTTGAGGGCTTGGGGCGGAGATTCGGGTTGAGGGTTCTTAATAACCCCAAACCAAAGCCCCAAAAGCCCCTAAGCAGGCTGGCCGGATGAAACATAGGGGCCTTCAAAATGAGAAGAATGGGAAGAGCAAGAACAAGGCTTTGGGACATGCCACAGCAGCCTGTCACCCAGGGAGAGCAGTTGTTTAAAAAAGATCTCTCTTCTCCTGAGACTCCGCCGACACAGCCTCAGGCATCTTTGCCTGGGGGCTGGACGAAGCTCCACCCTCCGTCGCTTTGGCGATGGGGTGTTTCGCTTCACTTTCTTCCACTTGGACGACCCCTCTGGATCGTGGGGCTGCTCGACGAGGACTCCGAATAATAGGAGTAACTCTCATCATCAGTGTCCCCTTTCTTGGCCTTGCCCTTGCCGCCCCCGCCACGGCTGGACCTGGCCCTGGACTTGGCAGCCGTGGCCCTGGATGGCTTCGCCACCTTTTTCAACGGCGGAGCGGAACAATAACAAGGAAACCTTCAAAATAGCGTTGCGTTACGAATTGTTTAAGCTTCTAAACTAGGAGTCTGGTTAAATCATGATTTTATGGGTGCATTCCCTACACCCGAAAAGCAGTAAAGTACCCGAAAGGCTCACCATGTATTGGGGAGGGTTTAGGGTTTAGGGTTTAGGGCAACAATCACTGCCAGGGATTAGGGTTTAGGGTCTACGGTTTAGGGACCGCGGCTGGCCTTCCTATCATTGCTCTTCCCTTGATTGACAGCGCTTGCCATGCCCCAAACCATTTTAAGTATCTACATGGGTTGTTTTCTATATTAGGATCCCTTTTCAGGTCCCCAATATACTACGTCACCCTTATAAAAAGGACCCCCAAAGGGACCCTAATTTAGAGAACTGCCCACCATGTGGATACTTACCCGAACGTCTACCTTAAGCCTAGAAGCCCTGCAGCCCAACATTTTTCGGGCTCCCAGCCTATGCTTTGCTCATGTAGTTCCCGAAGATCGTAGGGTTGTTGGGACTGGCGGGTCTTGAGGGCTTGGAGTTAGGGATTGAAGGTGTGAGGTTTCAGGTTTGGGTTTAGGGTCTAGGGTCTAGGGTTTAGGGGTTTAGGGGTTTAGGGGTTTAGGGTTTAAGGTTTGGGTTTAGGGTATAGGGAGATGGTGCAAAGAAGACCACAGAAGCTTGCTACTTAGAGTAGTAGCCCAAAAGTTGGAAACCCGCTAGCCTAAATCCTGAAGAGCCATGTATAGGGAATCCCAGCACGATTTGTCCTTAATCCGGTTTCCAACTTTTTTGGGGTTGACTATACTTCTCACAAACAAAGGCTGGGGTACAGCGTGTAAATTAGGGTCTTAGGGTCTGCAGTATTGAGCGTCCAGATTGCAAGGTTTGCCGGGGGGTGGGAGTTAGATTTCTCTTTGAGTGTTGTGGGCCCGAAACCCTAAACCCTAAACCCTAGAACCCCTAAACCCTATAATCCCTAAAACTCTAAAACCCCTAAACCCTAAAGCCCAAAACCCAAAACCCTAAAGCCCTAAACCCTAAACCCTACACCCTCGAAGATGCCTCCCAGGGGCACAGGCATCCCTCTTCTACCGGCCCGAACTTGTCCTGCGGTTTAGGGTTCAGGGGTTTAGGGGTTTAGGGCTTATAGGGGTTTAGGTTTAGGGTTTAGGGTTTAGGGTTTAGGGTATAGGGGTTTAGGGTTTTAGGGTTTAGGGTTTGGGGCGCGATAGGGTTTAGGGGGCGACAGGAGAGGAGCTGGGGTTTGCGGGTTTCCTGGCCCATAGAAATGACCCAGGCTCCGACGTCTTAGGCAACTGATGTAGAGTTCAGGGAAGGATGAATGGTTTGGAGGGTTCAGGGCTTCGGCGCTTGGGGCTTTCAGAGCTTCTAGTGCACAGTTTCGGAGTTTGGGGTTTGGCGTTTCGGGGTTTAAGGTGGAGAGCATCGCGTTTCAAGCTAGGTGTGGGGTGTTGTTCACCTCGTGCTCTTGCAGCTGTTGGTAGATGTCGAGTGGGTAGGGCCTACAAGCATTAACTTGACTGTGGGCTGGAAAGGCACAGCAGGCTTCACAGCTGTTAAACCTTTAATCCAAAGTGCCGGGAACAGCACCCCTCCCCCCTTCAAAAAAGACGCCTCGCACCCACACTTTTTTATACTGCTTGTGGTGACAAGGCTAGTGGGCGTGGTAGCAACCGTAACAGAGCAGGGGTGCAATGCTAGAGTTGGAATCAGCACGGATTATCATGCGATGAACCACAATCACGACCAGAGCCACAAGGTAGCAGCAAGAGCAACACAAGTAAGGAACAAACTCAGGCGAATTGCAGTGGTCTTACACCTAGTTGCTTTTTCCCCTGACCCCACGAAATGGATAACCTTTCCAAGCTATGGCCGGGATGCATACGCCCCAGTGTACTCAGCTTCTAAGGTCTACCACAAAGCCTCAAGGCCTTGAACCCTCGGACTCCTGAAACCCTAAAGCCCCCAAACCTTAGGGGTTTGGGGTGTAGGGCTGAGGGCTTAGGGTTTAGGGTTTAGGGTTTAGGGCTTTGGGTTTAGGGTTTCATCCTTGGAGACCCAAGGAATCAACGAACCCCGAAAACAAAACTTCCTAGTCCGGAACCCATGTCAGTATTGTATCTTGCTAGACCCACCGAATCAAGGGCCTCCAAAAGAGCTTATGGCTCGCTTCCCATACAAGAACTACGGGCATGAACCTAAAAACCTCAAACAGTAGAACCCTTAGCAACAGGACCTCTAAGAAGGAGTCCTCAAATTTCCAGAACCTCTCAATGCATGGGAGGTGCAGCTCTTGGCTGTTGATATCACAGGGAGGGGGGGCACTCCCTAAACCCTAACCCCACTCCTCCCGCTTGGCCATCAGAATGCTGGGGCTGCAAAGATACCCACAGCCCGGGACATGTCTGATCGATGCCCCCCTGGGCTGCCAAGATTTGCAGGTATCAGGGGTCGGTTTGAGGTTGAGGGTTTAGGGTTTAGGGTTTAGGGTGTGGGTCCATGCAAGCCTAACAAAAAAGTCGGTTCTGACCTTCTCAGTACAGGGCCTAATCCAAAAATGGCAGGTTCTGACCCTTGATCATGTCATTGTGGGCTTTTAGGGCTTGACTGTTCCAGCGCACTCAATGTAAGGTTCAGAAGGTAGGAAATAGGGTTCAGGGTCTTGAATACCTGAGAGTTGAAGGCTTTGTGTAAAAATGGCTTTACTTACCTTACTTACAAACCTTACTCACAAAAGGTTCCCTTCTCCTCCAAATGAGCCGTGGGCCAGCCGCTAGGATTAAAAAAGGTGCCAGCGCCACCGCTTTCGGGGGAGGAGTGCCGTTTCAACACGAGTCACCCTCCTATGAGGTGTCGTGTTTGAGCCTGCGTGCAAACTCTAGAACCCTCCATTATACAGAGTTCAGGGTTTAGGGTTTAAGGGTGTTTAAGGTGTATGAGGTCATGGTGGTGGGACACACCAGTATGAAGATCTGAGCACGGAAACTGTGCCTACATGAGCCTGGGTCGATATTGTGCTTCGTGAATGTTAAACTACCTGCTCCCAGCATGAAGACAGATGATGAGGCCTCGGAAGGTTTAGGCTTTAGGGTAGGGTCCAGGGTCCAGGGGCCGTAAACCCTAAACCCTAAACCCTAAACCCTCAACACCAAAGAAACAGCCGAAGCACAGCAACTCACGATGCTGCCAGCAAAGTTGTTGGGCCCAGTCCGTGCGGCCGAGCTCGTCGAGCATGCAGCAGGCGCAGAGCAGCACCCTGGAGCTCCAACTTCGTGCTTGACCCTACCTGGACCCTAAAGAACCTCCCTTTTTAGGGTTCCTTATTATGATTTCCTTATATAAGTCCTCAAAAAAGTGGGTTCTTCAGGGTCCAGGTAAGCCCTAAACCCTAAACCTTTTGAGGGCTTAGGGTTGGGGATATTTGGGTTTCTGGTAGTGTCATGAACTTTTCGTTCAAGATCTCTGGATCAGGGGTTCAAAGGACCCCAAACTCTATGCCTTCTCTGCGTGTGGAACTTGCATATCTCCCTTCTGTCTGATTCTCCGATGTGGGGCGTAGGGTTCAGGCCCCACCTAGAACCTGAAATCCTAAAACCCAAAACCCCCGGGGTCGAGGGTCTCCTGCTTCTCTCAAACAGTCTACTATAGGGGCCCAAAAAAAATTGGAATAAGGTTTTGGGATATACTATACTATAATTATATTGAGGAACCCCCAAAACCCTATTCTAATTATTAAGACCCCTACATTACTCACAATCAGATTTCGAACTGTCAGGGTTCCGGGTTCCATAGAAAGGTGATGTACACAGCTGGGCTTCTAGGGCTCAGTCCCAGGGTATGTTTAGGGGATTCAGGGCTTTAGGGTTTGGGTTTAGGATTTAGGATTTAGGGTTTAGGGTTTAGGGTTTAGGGTTTAGGGTTTAGTATCTGTCGGCGTGATGCATGCACAAAGCATAGCTGTGACTCCTCATATCATATGGAGCAGGGCCTCCTTTGAAAAGAACCCCCATAGTTGCATCTAACATATACATTCACCAATGTTGGTAAGGAGCCCCAGTATACACGCCAACACCCTCAGGTACTTGGAACATTGAGTTCTTGTTACCTGGGTGTAAGGCTAAGGCATGAGGGTTGAGATTCAGGGTGCAGGGTGCTGAGGCCACAAGGACCGCTTAAACACCCTAAACCCTAAACCCTAAACCGTGGCCCTAAACCCTAAACCCTAAACGGTTTAGGGTTTAGGGTATCGCACCTTGTCAGGACACAAAAGGGGTCAAGTGAAGCAGCTGAGCTAGTCTGTTTGGAGGCCCGACTGAGAACTACTCTAGGTTCCTGAGTGACCCTTAAATGATAAGGGCACCCTTTTTCCTAGTATTCGGCTTTAATCAGGAGACCCCAAAATAAAAAGGGCAAAAGGGTACCACTCAGGAACCTAGTGCTCATGAGCATCGAAATCCCTACTCAAGGCTACAGAAAACTTTTGATAACTTTAACTTAAGCACTCAAACCGTTCCGGAACATTCATTTCAGTTCTGCACGCGAAATCCCCCGCTGCCGAGCTGCCAGGGATCTTCTTCGAAGTGATCGGCCAGAATGTCAAGAACCCACTGACCTTTTCACATGAAGTAGCGCTAATGTTGGATACAGGTGAGTGTACACAGAGCTCAGATTACGACTTGGTGGATGGGGATACGAATAGCAAACCCTTTCTTGGGGTATCGCGGTTAAAGGACATGGTTCCTCAACGACACGCCCGAATAGGGGCCATAACGCTTGAGCGTCGCGGCTGTAGAGTGGGATTGTAGCCGGGGTGCAGTGCTTATGGCTTAAAGCCTACGGTATGCAGTTTAGGGTAAGGGTCCAAAACATGAGCCATTCCTCCCTCCGAAGTCCAGCGCACTACTTGTATCAGTCTCTCATCCTGATGTTTTTGTTTTTTTGCGGGTGCCTTTTCCCGGTGTGTCTAGTGCTACGTTCCCCAGTAGCCCCCCCCCCCCAAAAAAAAAAAAAAAAAAAA